CACCGCGCCGGGCCTTTATATATATATATATGTAAACTCTTTATGTAGGGAAACAGGCACAAAGAGGCAAAATATGTCTTGCAAGAAAACATGGCTGATGGCTGTGCTGGGATCCAAACAAGGCTCCCCAAGGTTGCAGCTTTTGATCCCTGGCTCTCAGGCAGCCTCAGGGAATCCATTCAAATAAGCGGGTCAGACCGGTGGTAGTTAACACTACGCAGGCGCGTGGTTGGGGGGGGGGCGGTTGGGAGGCAGAGTGGCGCGCAGGCGCAAGAGGCGAGGCGCGGGTGGGGCAAGAAGGCCCTGGAATGGGGCTCAGGCGCAGAAGCGGGTGGGCCGTATCGGAGGGCAGGAAAGGCGCACAGGCGCAGGAGGTGATGGGGAAAACAAGGCCCTGGAACGATGCGGGGGCGCAGGCGGCGAAATGAATGGCGCGCAAGCGCAAGAGGGTGAGTGTAGGGGAGGTGCGCAGGCGCAGTAGGAGCGGGAGAGGCGCGCAGGCGCAGTAGGAGCGGGAGAGGCGCGCAGGCGCAGTAGGAGCGGGAGAGGCGCGCAGGCGCAGTAGGAGCGGGAGAGGCGCGCAGGCGCAGTAGGAGCGGGAGAGGCGCGCAGGCGCGGGCCTTCTGGCGGCACTTTGAGAAAAGTTTTGGCGACGCCCGGACAGTCCTTGCGGTACTCCATGTAGGTAAGCAGGTGGCAACTGTCTCTGCAGTTGGAGCCGGGCGCGATGTATTTGGCATACGTAATGGCTGTGTTCGTGGCCGTGTTGTGCACGGCGAGGGGGTGTCTCGTTGCTGTTAGTCCTTGCTGAGCCGCAGTCGCGCCTCCCCGTCGCGCTCGGTGGTCCAAGTAGCTCATCCCGCAGACAGGCGGGTCAGCGGCGGCCGAGACCCCCAGGTGGACCCAGAGAGAAGCGGGCAGGTGGAGTGTCAGCGGCAAAACCAGGGAGAGATGGGGGCACAGGCAGGGGGCGTGGCACTGAGAGGGGGCAGACACAGGAGGCGTGAGGTATGAAGTGGATTGCCGAGGGAGAAAGAGACGACCAACGAGCCACAGAAGGGGATGCGGGGACAGGTGGACAGTCAGACGCACTGACCCAGAGAGAGAGGAGCTCAGCTGTACGCGCACGAGCAAGTAGACAGGTCAGCGGCAGGCCCACTGTCCCTCCCGGGCGCCTTCTCCCCAGTGACCAGAAACTTCTGACAACTGCTGACCACCTGCACCCCCTCCACTGCCCCCTCTACACCCAGCCGGGCACCCTATGACGGTGACCTCCATGTTCCCATCCCATCAAGGCAACCTCTGAAGGGACAAATGGAACCCTAAAGATCCCAACACTGGCTGAGCTGCCCTCGGCCAGCCCTGAATCGCTAGCTCCCCCACTCTCAAACTGGCTTCTCTGGGAACCCCACTATGCTCACCCAAGAGCCAAAGAGTCCCAACCTGTGGTTTTCTTTTCTGGATGTTGAGTGCCTTTCTGCCATGGACTCTGAACCATGCCCTGGGCCCATATACATAGCAACATGATTCACAATAGCCAGAAAGTGGAAGTAATCCAAGTGTCTACTGATGGATAAGTGGATAAATTTATCCACATATATATGTGTATACACACACATGTGTACATACATCATGAAATATTACTCAGCCTGAAAAAAGAAATGCTAATACCTGCTAAACATGGATGAGGCCAGGCGTGATGGCTCGTACCTGTAATCCCAACACTTTGAGGGGCTGAGATGGGAGGATCTGTTGAGGCCAGGAGTTCAAGGCCAGCCTGGGCAACATGGGGAGACCCTATCTCTATTTAAAAAAAAAATTATTAAAAACTTGAAAACATTTTTAAAAAGGATGAACCATAAAGACATTATCCTCAGTTAAATAAGCCAGAAAATGACAAATATTCTTACAATTCCACTTTTAAGGTGCTTAAAGTAGTAAAATTCAAGAGACAGAAAGTAGAATGATAGCTTTCAGGGGAAGGGAGAATAGGGAATTGTTTGATAGATGTAAAGTTTGAGTTTGAAAAGAGGAAACTTCTAGAGATACATGGTGTTTATGGTTGTACTACATTGTGAATGTGTTTAATGCCACTGAACTGTGTACTTAAAAAGGGTTAAAATGACACGTTTTATGTTACGTATTTTTTACCACAGTTAAATTTTAAAAGCCTTCCTGACATTAGTAGATTCTTAGCATTTCTCAAAGTACATTGAGAGAACTTTAAGAGAACAGTGAGACCAAGGTGAGAATCATTGTAGAAAATACATACATTCCTCTCCTGTATTTGAGCATCCCCCACTTGACAATATGATCAACCACTTGTATTTCCTTGATGACGAATCAAAATTGAAAATGAAGTGAAAAAATACTTGCAAAATATATGTACATCTCTGTAAAAAGGTTACACATTAGGGCCGGGCGCGGTGGCTCAAGCCTGTAATCCCAGCACTTTGGGAGGCCGAGGCGGGTGGATCACGAGGTCAAGAGATCGAGACCATCCTGGTCAACATGGTGAAACCCCGTCTCTACTAAAAATACAAAAATTAGCTGGGCATGGTGGCGTGTGCCTGTAATCCCAGCTACTCAGGAGGCTGAGGCAGGAGAATTGCCTGAACCCAGGAGGCGGAGGTTGCGGTGAGCCGAGATCGCGCCATTGCACTCCAGCCTGGGTAACAAGAGCGAAACTCCGTCTCCAAAAAAAAAAAAAAAAAAAAAAAAAAAAGGTTACACATTTTGAGAACTAGGTTAGCAGTGAGGTGTCTAGATAACATACAAAAATCAACAGCAATTCCATATACCAACATTAACTACCTAGAAAACCTAAAAGTGGGGAGATAAAATGAACAGTAGAAACAAACTATAAAATAGAATTATGTTGACCAAAAATTTTACAGTATAGTTATGGATAAAAGTATAAAGGTTTGGCTGAATTCAGTGGCTCATATCTGTAACTTCAGTCCTTTGGGAGGCCAAGACAGGAAGATCCCTTGAGCCCAGAAATTTGAAGTTACAGTGAACTGGGATCACGTCAGTGTACTCCAGCCTGGGTGACAGAGTGAGGCCCTGTGCCTGTTTTTAAAAAAATCAAAAAGGGGCCAGGCGTGGTGGCTCACGCCTGTAATCCCAGCATTTTGGGAGGTCGAGCTGGGTGGGTCACGAGGTCAAGAGATCAAGACCATCCTGGCTAACGTGGTAAAACCCTGTCTTTGCAAAAAATACAAAAATTAGCTGGGTGTGATGGTGCACACCAGTAGTCCTGGCTACTCAGGATACTGAGGTAGGAAAATCGCTTGAACCTGGGTGGCGAAGGTTGCACCACTGAACTCCAGAGCAAGAGTCCATCTTAAAAAAAAAAAATCAAAAAGGTTTACTAACAGAAACACAAAAATGCAGAAAAAGTGCCATGAGATATACCTCAGAAAGGTTGCTGTTTACACTGTGAGAGCTGAAACGAAGCCAGAGCATTGCCTTGTTCAGCCTCAGTTGGAAAGGTACAGTGGGCCATTCAAATTTTTCACTCCTCTGTGTATGTCCTGGACTGACCTCTAAAGTGCCATAAATATTGATTTGGGGGTTACCAGTAAATTTTAGCAAGGAGCCAGATTTGTAAATACGGAATTGGCAAATAATGAGGACTAACTGTACTAACTTATTAAAAAGTAAAAGCCCACCAAATAGTTGAGGAGGGCCATTGATGTGGTTTGCGTATTTGCCCCAGCCAAATCTCATGTTGTATTGTAATCCCCAGTGCAGGGGGTGGGCCTGGTGGAGGTGTTTGGGTCATGGCGTGGCTTGGTGCTGTCTCCCTCGTGGCTTGGCGTTTGCTGTCTGCATGATATTGAGTTCTTGAAAGATCTGGTCATTTAGGAATGAGTGGCGCTCTCTGGCTTGCTCTGGCTTTGGCCATATGATGTGCCTGCTCCCCTTTTGCCTTCCGCTGTGATTATGAGCTCCCTGAGGCTTCACCAGAAGCTGAACAGGCCCCAGCACCGTACTTTCTGTAAAGCCTGTAGAACCATGAGCTAATTAAACCTCTTTTCTGTATATATGGTCCCATCTAAGATATTCCTTTATAGCAATGCAAGAATGGCCTAATACAGCAATCAAATATGACATTAGCCTTATCTGCACTGCATTAATTTTTTTTCGCAAGGAGAATGCCATTTTAAATTTCTGGTACATTAAGAAAAATGAAACTCAAAATGGGCTTGAGTATCTAGAACCTTAAGGAACACTGGGAGTTTTGTTGCTCCTGATACGCTGTTTCTCTCCAGGCTGGGAGATGTTCCCTCTCCCGCTCTGCCTACTAATATTTCAGGGACACACTGTGAATATGCCATATCAGCTCTGGTCTGCTTATAATGGACTGTTGGATGGGAGGTGAATAAACTATCTTCCTTAAGGTGTTACTGAATTTTACTGCAACAGCAAAACTCATCCCTAATGATGGAATTAGTCAAGAGTCATACCTTGACTGTTCAGTTAACCAAGACTGACTGTGTTGATGATAACCATTAGCTCATACTGAGGACTTTCTGGAGTCAGACACTGCATTCCCTGTACCTCATCTCCATGTCCTTTCATGGCGACCCTCTGAGATAGGAATCTACTTTTCAGATTTAAAATCTCTGAGCCTCTGACAATGGAAATCACAGCTGCTCAGAATTTGAACCCAGAACTGATTTCAGAGTCCAAGCCTCTCCCCATCACACTAAACAAAGGACAAAAGTGTTTTTGTGTCACACCAAAAATCAAGACATGGGACCCTGAAGTACTTTTTTTTGTCAGAACTTATTGGAAAAGTTTCCCAGTTGCCTCCAGGCAGGTGAGTTGATTTTGGGGCCCAGTTCTTAAAATTTGTGAAGGCTTTTTCTTTCTAATGTCTCGTCAAGTCCCCCGAGGAGAAAAAAATCAAATGGGAGCCCGCAGTTCAGATTTTTCTTCTAAAACAGGCAGTTCTTTGTAGACTCCCCAATAGGCTTCCCTGGAATCATGACTTCTTCTAGGGAGCACCTCTTCAACAGATGAACAATCAAGAAACTGACCAATAAAGAATGTGGCTTCTTAAATACAGGAGGGAGAGCTTCTATCCAGAGCAGCACTTCACTTATTGCAATGAGGTCTTCCTGCCAAAGGCTGGAAGAGTAGAAACACAAGTTATCACATGGGGATTCTTGTACTATGTTCACTCAGTCTCCAAGATCCCACAGTTACCATATGATGAAAATATTCTGGAGTGAATTGATCCATTTATAAATTGGCCCTCACCCAAAATCTCTCCACAATGAACTTTTTAGAGTGGCACTATCCAAAAGAAGTATTACCGGAGCTACCTATGCAATTTAACAATTTATAGCACCCACATTTGAGAAAAGGAACTTGGGCAGGCCCAGGGGCTCACACCTGTAATCACAGCACTTTGTGAAGCTGAAGCAGGAGGATTGCTTGAGGCCAGGAGTTTGAGACCAACCTGGGCAACACAGAAAGACCCCATTCTACAAAAATATTTAAAACATTATGTATGAATGTACCACTGCACTCCAGCCTGAGCAACAGAGCAAGACTCTATCTCTAAAAAGTAAATAAAAAAATAAAACTGGTAAAATCACTTTGAATAATATTTCTTTAACCCAGTATTCCAAAATATCTTCTCAACATGTAATCATGATTTAAAAATACTGAGATATTTTATATTCAATTTGTGTGTGTGTGTGTGTGTGTGTGTGTGTGTGTGTGTGTGTGTAAAAGGGTCTATCTCTCACCCCCACATCAATGTCTAATAGTTTTTCATTCAGCTGTAAAGTGAAATTGGAAATCTTTGCAGAAGACGAGGAATAATGAATGTGGTACGTTGAACTGCTGGGCCCACCCACACTTCATCAACAGATGAAGGTGTGGAAGGGTTTAAACCAGTCAACAGTGAACAAAGGACAATGGAGACGGTGAGTTACAGGCTGAGTTGTATCCTTCCACATTTCATATGTTGAAGGCCTAACCTTTAGTACCTCTGGATGTAACTTATTTGGAAACAGGATCATTATAGAAGTTAACATGAGGCCATTAGCGTGGGCCCTAATCTTACTAATCTGTCCTCATAAAAAGGGGAAATTCGAACACAGAGACACCCAGAGGGAAGATGGTGTGAAGACGCAGAGAGAAGACAGCTATCAGCCAGCCAAGGAGAGAGGTCTGAAATGGATCCTCCCCTCATAGCCCTCAGAAGGATCTAAGCCAGCCAGCCTCTTGATCTCACACTTTTCACCTCCAGATCTGTGAGACAAGAAATTTATGTTGTTTAAACATAAATTTAAACAACATAAAACCACAGCCCTCCAGTCTGTGGTACTTCGTTATGTAGCCCCTGCAAACTAAGGCGTGGGTTGGCTTGTGGCATTAAAACACTTTGCCCATGTGAAGGTTACAGGCAGTCTATAGGACAATTGAAGATGCATTCTACTTTCTGTCTGCACTGTGCATCTAGCTATATTAAAGAAAAAAACAACAACTCAACAACTAAGTGATTTGTGGTGTCATGGAGGCTCCCTCTGCACATGTCTTGGGGAAAGGAGAGGAGAAATGGTGGGTAGTGGAAGTTCAAGTCTCCATCCCTTATTATCTGTGTAATGGGCCAGCACACCTCATTCTCTGGATTCCTGGCAAGTAGAACTTTTTCCACTTGAAGTTTCTGACAAAAGGCCTTCTCCAAATAAGACCCAATGAGACATTTGTGATTTATTGCCTCCTACTTTCTAAAAAAGGCAGGAAGCACAGCTGACAACATTGGTGGCCAACTGAAGGAGTTTACGTACCTTACCATGATCCTGGTAGAGTAGAGACAGCATGAGTTGAAGCCTGCTACTCAGAACCCACTGCAACTCGTGTGTGTATGCGTGTGTGTGTGTGTTTTGAAGCCTGCTACTCAGAACCCACAGCAGCTGTGCACGTGTGTGTGTGTGTGTATGTTGTGTGTGTCTTTTGCAATTCCAATCACAGATCTGCCCTCTCTTGGACTCAGAGGGCTCAGAGGAGCCCTCTCTTGGGGTCTGAATGCACTGCCCAGCAAAGCTTAATGCATTGCCCAGCAAAGCCAAGCAACTGAGTCTCACCATCAGGACAGCTGAGAGCAGCTCCATCAAAGCAGTCAGTGGTACATTTGATCAATTTGTTTTTTGTATTTCTGGGCTATAAAATGTCTCTTAAGTTTCATCATTGGACCTATTGAGAAAGGAGAAATTAATGGAGTTGTGGAAATAAAAGAAAATTCCACATACCCATGCATGACCAGGCAACAGAGTCCCATGCTTGGGGCTGGGCTGGGTGGCTGGCTGTGCCATTGACTTTCAGGGTATGTCACTTTTGCTGCCTGTATGGGGATGATAAAACTTTCATGTGGTCCTTCAGCTGTAGTGAGGATTCTGTGAGCTGGAAGGTGGAGAGCATGCTGCACTCTGTGCCTGATGTGGACTGTGCACCCAATGGAGGAGGGATATCATCATCTCAAACCATGCCCCTATCCCCATTTTACAGGTGAGGAAACTGGGGATTAGAGGGGACCAGTTCCTATGAGGTCAGCCAGCAAGTGCATGGCAGAATCAAGACTCAAACTGAGAGTTGTCTGCTCCCATAGCCCAGGACATTCATTGAAAGCCTCTGAGTCACCAGGGGCTCTGGGTGTCCCAAGCAACCCCACAAGAACTGTGTTTTCAACTGATAGATGAAAAGACCACCAGCCTGGACAACATGGCAAAACATCTCTACGAAACAAAAAGAAAAAATTAGCCACGCATGGTGGCGTGCACGTGTCCCAGCCACTCAGGAGGCTGAGGTGGGAGGATCACTTGAGCCTGGGAGTTCAAGGCTGCAGCAGCAAGCCGTGATCCTGACGTCATACTCCAACCTGGGTGACAGTGAGACCCTGTCTCAAAACAAACAACAACAATAACAAAACACACAAGACTCAGTGGGACAAATCCCTTCCCTGTGTAGAGGGAACAGGATTTGAACCCAGGCTGTTCAATGCCACTTGCTTACTCTGACTCTTCCATCCACACCATCAAATTATAGCCGAGCGCTGGTAGAATCCAGTATCCCTACTCTGGAGTGAGCCCTACCCTCATAGGGGAAGAGAGGCAAAAATACAACTCATACAGAGAATAATGTCATGTTCTGATGTTTTATGGAGGCAAGAAGACACGGTGGTATAATGGGGATGATGGCAAGCTACAGGGTAAATTGTTAAGGACAATGGCAAGCCACTTTAGCCACCATGGTCAGGAAAGGCAGAAACCATGCCTATAAACTTTATAAAATTAATCACAGAAGAAGGGAGGGGAAGCCGGGCGCGGTGGCTCAAGCCTGTAATCCCAGCACTGTGGGAGGCTGAGGCGGGTGGATCACGAGGTCAAGAGATCGAGACCATCCTGGTCAACATGGTGAAACCCCGTCTCTACTAAAAATACAAAAAATTAGCTGGGCATGGTGGCGCGTGCCTGTAATCCCAGCGACTCGGGAGGCTGGGGCAGGAGAATTCCCTGAACCCGGGAGGCGGAGGTTGCGGTGAGCCGAGATCGCGCCATTGCACTCCAGCCTGGGTAACAGGAACGAAACTCCGTCTCAAAAAAAAAAAAAAAAAAAAAAAAGAAGAAGGGAGGGGAAGAAACTAAAGTCAGCCACACTTACAGCACACTTAGCATTCATCATTAGGTCAGTTTGCTCTCTGATCCCTTCCTTATAGCTAGCTGTTTGCCTGTTGCTCCAGAATCACAAAAAACCCAGTTGCAAGATACAGGTCCCCTTAACTGCTCTACAGATAACGTATTAAGCATTGTGAAAGATTAAGTTTTCCTTTTTTTTTTTTAATCTGCCTTGGAAAGATTTCCTTACTTAACCATTGTGAAAGGATATCTTTGAGATATCCTTTCAAGTCCTGCATATCAGTGAAACTACTGATGCCCACTGATCTGAAGGACCCCACAGGAGCTGCCTTACCAAAGACTGTAGCTTAGACATCCTGATGATTTCATCCCTCTTACCCCAACCAATCAATCACTCTAATTTTCCAGCCCTTCACCCCCAAAGATCCCCTTAAAACCCCAGCCCAGAATTCTCAAAGGGAGATTTGAGGGTTCCTTCCATCTTGGTTGGCCTCCCTGCAAGGGAATTTAATTTCTTTTTTTTGTTTGTTTTTTGTTTTTGTAGGTTTGTTTTTTATTTTTGAGACAGGGCTCACTCCATTTCCCAGGTTGGAGTGCAGTGGCACGATGATGGCTCACTGCAGCCTTGACTTCCCCCAGCTCAACAAATCCTCCCACCTTAGTCTACTGAGAAGCTGGGCTCGTGCCACCATACTCAGGTAATTTTTGTATTTTTTGTAGAGATGGAATTTCACCATGTTGCCCAGGTTGGTCTCAAACTCCTGGGGTCAAGCAATCTGCCCACCTCAGCCTCCCAAAAGTGTTGGGATTACAGGCATGAAACACTGTGCCTGGCCATAATTAAGACACTGTGCCTGTCTTTGCTGCAACCCCTGTTGTCTCAGTATATTGGTATATTACTGTGCAGTGGGCATACAGACCTAGTGGTCCTGTACAAGGCTGCTCTGAGGAGGAAGCGGCCTGTAGGGTGAGACCTGGACAATGAGAAGGAGCCATTCATGCAAAGAATTGAGGGGGAAGGGCACTCCCAGGAAGGCAGACTGGCAGATGCAAAGGCCCTATAGTTGGACAAAGCCCAGAGAGATGCAGGGACATCAAGAAAGCCCACGGATTTGGAGCAGAGTTAATGAAAGGTCAGAAAGAGAGAGATTGTATAGCTCTATAGTAAGGAGTTTGGATTTTATTTCCAGGATGGGGAGCTGGGGACCAGTTAGCTAGAGGTGGCAGCATCCCTCTCCTGGTTCCTGGCTGATCTCATAGACCCTCTGACCTTCAGGAAAGGGCCTATGTCTTCAGAGCCCACACAGTCCCAGGTGCTAACAAGGGACCAGCCTCAAAATGTCATGGCCACTCACCCAACTCTCCACCATAGATGGAAAAGTCCTTCTCCAAGATGACCCACTTTTGAATCTTCTGCGCATTGCTTGTGGCTTCCTGGTTCACGTCATTGATGCCTTCCTGGATAGCCTTGTAGATCAGGGAGTCTTTCCGCTTCACAATGTCAGTCACGGTAGATGCCCAGCTACCCAGATCCCGACAGAAGTCGATGGCCTCCGAGGTCAGATTGTCCAGAGGTTCTCCGCTCATCTGATTGATCTCACACTGCCCCAGGACACCCCTGTCACCACACACTCTCCTTGGCCAGCACCCCTCCCCAGGCCTAAAGACCAAGAAGTGGGTCTTGAACCCACAGGTGTACCCTCCTGACCTTGGGGTGGGGCCAGGGAGCGCAAGGCCAGCAGAGACCCCCCCCAATGACAGCAAACCCATGTTACCTTCAGCGTCAGCAACATGCTCAGAAACTTCAGTTTATCTCCTACTAACATGGCGTTACTGATGATCGGGATCTTCTTCTTAACCAAGGTCTCAATGGGAATGGGGGCCACATTTTCAGCACCGGCAGTGATAAGTATTTCTAGAACAGAGCTTGGCTTGGTACGTGTCCCGCCATGACAGCGTGCAACCCCCACCCCCTTGGAGATCAGAAGGGCAGTTGCTGGCATGGCCAACACTCACCCAGAAAGCCCCAGAAGCACAGGAGGACCTGGCCCTCTTCCCTCACCCACTTTTAATTCCCATCAAGTGTCCAAGTTATGTCTTCCTCTTGGACAGCATCTTAATAATTAATTGCCTGTTTCCTATTTCCTTGTCCACCATGCCCTGGTTTTAGGTTCTTCTGTATGTCCTCCTTGAAAGATAATGAAGCCTTTTTGGCCACACGTGGTCCATCTGTCTTTTGCTTCTTAATCACTTAGTAACCCCAACAGAATGTAATGTAATTCCAGTCTTACCCCCAGGGACATGTGTAGCAAACCTAATTTTGGCAAACTCTGAAAGAATCTTTCTCAGTCTCTGAAATTCTTCAACAGTGCCTTTTCCTGCCGTAGACCCACTGGTCACTTGTTCTTTCATCCTGAGATGCTTCCCTCTTTCTGTACCACCCAGCCAAATTCACTCCCCCTTGTCCCGAAGGGACACACAAAGTCACCTTTACTGTGGTCGTTAATAGCAGTAATAATAATCAATATGACCATGAAATGGATATCAGTGGTGTAACTCCTCCTTGGAGTAAGAGTACTCTGAGTGGGAACTACTCTCCATGTTTGTTTGTTTTTTTTAATTTTTTTTTATTTATTATTTTTTTTTAATTTATTTTTTTTTTTTTGGAGGCACCGCTGGGATTTTTAATTTTTAAAGACAGGGTTTCACCATGTTGGTCAGGCTGGTCTTGATCTCCCAGGTGGATCAGGTGATCTGCCCGCCTTGGCCTCCAAAGTGTTTGAATTACAGGCATGAGCCACAACGCCCGGCCTCTCCACGTTTTAATGTATGTGATTTGGGTGGGTTGGACTGCAGGGGTGAGCATGTGACCAGCTCTGACCAATCAACATATTTCACCCACAACAGTGATTCATTCTGAGAGAGATCTTGGCCCAAGGATCCAATGAGAGGCCTCGTTTGCTGAAAACATTGAGAATAATACACTCTAGTCTCTTGGGGGGTTAGAGGTGAGCCTAAAGTGTTGGTAGCTTTCTTTGCCATCTTTCAGATGGCAAAATTTCTTTAAGAATAGCAGCGGCCGGGCACTGTGGCTCACACCTATAATCCTAGCACTTTAGGAGGCGGAGGCAGGTGCATCTGTGGTTAGGAGTTTGAGACCAGCCTGGCCAACATGGTGAAAACCTGTCTCTACTAAATATACAAAAATTAGCCAGGTGTGGTGGTACGTGCCTGTAATCCCTGCTACTCAGGAGGCTGAGGCAGGAGAATCACTTGAACCTGGAAGGCAGAAGTTGCAGTGAGCTGATATCATGCCACTGCACTCTATCCTGGGCAACAAGAGTGAAACTCCATCTCAAAACAAAACAAAAGTCAGGGTGCAGTGGCTGACACCTGTAATCCCAGCACTTTGGGAGGCCGAGGCAGGCAGATCACCTGAGGTCAGGAGTTCGAGACCAGCCTGAGCGACATGGAGAAACCCTGTCTCCACTAAAAATACAAAATTAGCCAGACGTGGTGACGCATGCCTGTAATCCCAGCTACTCGGAAGGCTGAGGCAGGAGACTTGCTTCAACCCAGGAGGCAGAGGTTGCGGTGAGCTGAGATCGCGCCACTGCACCCCAGCCTGGGCAATAAGAGCGAGACTCCTGTCTTAAAAAAAAAAAAAAAAAAAAAAAGCACCAGCGGCCAGGCACAGCAGCTGATATCTGTAATCCGACCACTTTGAAAGCCCAAGGTGGGCAGATCACTTAAGCCCACAAGTGCAAGACCACCCTGGGCAATATGGTAAAACCAGGTCTCTGCAAAAAATTAGCCGGGTGTTGTGGCACATGCCTGTAGTCCTACTTAGTCAGGAGGCTGAGGTGGGAGAATCACCTTAAAGGGAAGTAAAGGCCACAGTGAGTCATAATTGCACTACTGCCTTCCAGCCTGGACAACAGAGTGAGACCCTCTCTCAAAATAGTACCAGCACAGAGGAAAACTCAAGAAACGAATTTTAAAATTTATTACCTCATTTTGGCACCCATATTCAGCCAGCTGACCTTTTGGCCAGCTGACCTTTTCAGTTATGTTGAGTCAACAGTTTTGCCGTTTTTTTTCCCTCAAACCTATTTAAACCCATGTTAAGCAGGTTTTAATAAAAATGTACTAAGTGAGGCCGGGCGCGGTGGCTCAAGCCTGTAATCCCAGCACTTTGGGAGGCCGAGGTGGGTGGATCACGAGGTCAAGAGATCGAGACCATCCTGGTCAACATGGTGAAACCCCGTCTCTACTAAAAATACAAAAAATTAGCTGGGCATGGTGGTGTGTGCCTGTAATCCCAGCTACTCGGGAGGCTGAGGCAGGAGAATTGCCTGAACCCAGGAGGCGGGGGTTGCGGTGAGCCGAGATCACGCCATTGCACTCCAGCCTGGGTAGCAAGAGCGAAACTCTTGTCTCAAAAAAAAAAAAAAAAAAAAAAGTACTAAGTGTTCTCCATCAGGTTTTGGCAAACTGTGGCCCTTAGTGGCCAAATACAGGCCACTATCCCATTTTGTATGACCAAAAGCTAAAAATGAGTTTTAGATTTTTTAAGTTGCTGGAATTCAAAAGAAGAATATTTTTGATATATAAAAATTACGACACTCATATTGGCAGCTGGCCACACCCATTCTTTATGTGTTGTCAACAGCTGTTTTTGTGCTACAAATCACAGAGTTGAGAAGCTGCAACAGAGACACACGTTTTGTGAACCCAAAAATATTTACTAAAGGGCCCTCTTCAGGAAAAGTTGGCTTATCCTTGTTCTATACTTTCTTTAATCCTTACAACTCTGTAGATTATTACCCTCTAAAATTGCAGAAGAAAGTGGTACTTTTTAATTCAAGCCCATTTGAGCCAGCTTGAATGAGTTTGAGTAAAAAAAAGTTAAACTGTTGGCTCAATATAACTAAAAAGTTCAAAAGAGTATGGCTGGATCCAGGTGCCAAAATGTCACAAGGAATTTCTTTATCCTTCTCTTAGTCAGTTTCCCTCTGGGTTGGTGCTATTCTGAAAGGGGCTTCAGGAGATTCCAGGGCTTGTCTTTTGCAGTTCCATCCTCCTGAGGGTGGACCATGGGATGCCAAGTGACCAAGAAGTAACTGTTTGCAGGACAGGAGAACAGAGCTGAGTTGTACAGACTAAGGTGTTTCTGCACAGCCCCTCTGGGAAGGTGAGGAACTGGGGTGGCCTTTGTGCTGGTACCCTGAGCCCTTAAATGTTCAGGGTGGGCCTGCTTGCAGGAGATCCCAAAAGAACTCAGCCCCTGGTACCTTTGATGCGGCCAGTGACATAGAGGAAACCCAGACTGTCCAGCTGGCCCAGATCCCCAGAGTGTAGCCAGCCTTCCTCATCAATGGCCTCTGTAGTTTCAGTCTCCCTTTCCAGATAGCCCATGAAGATGTGCCTGCCCCAGAGGCAGATCTCCCCAATGCCATCCTTGTTCTGCTGGAACAGCATGTTCTTACATCCACTCAAGATCTTGCCGCAACTGAGGGGACAGAAGCAGAGAAACTGAGGCTCATAGAGACAAAGTCAGCCACCCAGCTCTGCCTAGGTCTGCAGCCTAGGCTCCTAATACTCTGCTCAGCTAGAGCAGGCTAGATATGCACCCCAGTGCACAGAAGGAGGTGTTTGCTGCAGTGTTTAATCCAGTGTGTCAGATTCCCAAAGGCTTTGTGAACTGGAAAACCCAGCAGTGGCTGAGTGTGGTGGCTCATGCCTGTAATCCTAACACTTTGGAAAGCTGAGGCAGAAGTATTGCTTGAGCCCAGGAGTTCAAGACCAACTTGGGCAACATACGGAAAACCCGTCTCTCTACAAAAATAATAAAAAATAAAAGTTGGGCACAGTGGTACATATCTGTGGTCCCAGCTGCTTGAGAGGCTGAGGTGGGAGAATTGCCTGAGCCCAGGAGGTCAAAGCTGCAGTGAGTAGTGATCACGCCACTGTACTCCAGCCTAGGTGACAGAGTAAGACCCTGTCTCAAAAAACAAACAACAAAAACAAAAATGAAAGAAAAAGAAAATCCAGCAGCATTGTAGGCTATTTTTGTTCTTTGTTTTTTTATCTCCACATATACCGGCAAAGAGAAAAGTGCTTTTGGCTTAAGGATAGGAACAAAAACCCCTCATCTTTAAGAAAACAGGTAGACTTCTCTGCAGTGATTAGGACAGCTAATTTTAAGAACGACAACCACTTAGAATCTCTTTAGAGGTAAAAGTTACTTTCATAAAACAGTAGCACTGTTTGCAATCTGGGTTCTTCTAATTTTTTAAAATAGAATTAGCATTGTCCAGGGCAGTTCTAGGATGCAGGAAAGGAAGTATTTTCTCCTTGTGTTGCTGAGATCTCTTTGATTAAGTTAGAAGGGCCAATGGACCCAGGTTTAACTGTAGGAATTCTCCCGGTGAGCAAAAAATAAAAAATAAAAAATAAAAAAATAAATAATAATAATATAATGGAGACAGGCCTGAGAAATCAAAAGCTGCCTTATGATTTTCCCACTCAAGGCTTTCTAGGTATGTGGAAAAATCCAGAAGCCATAAAAGAAAAGATTGATAAGTTCAGCCATCTAAATTTGTGACCACAAATTTCTGCACAGTAAAAAAAAATCTTAACTAAAATCAAAATACCAATGACAAGCCAGGGGATAAAATATTTGTAACTCATATGAAAGACAAATGGCTGATTTTCTTAATTTGTAAAGAGTGCCAACAAACCAATGATAAAGGGACCAATAATCTAATTTTTAAAACAGGCAGATAATATGGACAGTACATAGGAAAGAAAGTACAAATGACTTTTAGTATATGAAAAGGCTGGGCATGGTGTTTCATGCCTGTAATCCCAGCACTTTGGGAGGCTGAGGATTGCTTGAGTCCAGGAGTTCGAGGCCAGCCTAGGCAACATAGCAAGACCCCATCTCTACAAAAAAAAAAAAAAAAAAAAAAAAAATTTAAACTGCTGAGCATAGAGGCTCATACATATAGTCCTAGCTAGTTGGAAAGCTGAGTCCAGGAGTTCAAGGTTACAGTGAACTATGGTTGTACCATTACATTCCAGCCTGGGCAACAAAGTGAGACCCTATCTCTAAAAATACTTCGTAATTAAATTTTTAACAATAAATAAACACATATATGAAAAGATTTTTTTCAAAGCTCACCTGTGCTAAAAAAGAGGGAGTCAGGGAGAAACACAACCGGAAGATTCTATGACAGCTATGATGGGAATTTGAACCTGAATTTGGTATTCTTTTTTTTTTTTTTTTGAGACGGAGTTTCACTCTTGTTACCCAGGCTGGAGTGCAATGGCGCGATCTCGGCTCACTGCAACCTCTGCCTCCTGGGTTCAGGCAATTCTCCTGCCTCAGCCTCCCGAGTAGCTGGGATTACAGGCACGCGCCACCATGCCCAGCTAATTTTTTGTATTTTTAGTAGAGATGGGGTTTCACCATGTTGGCCAGGATGGTCTCGATCTCTTGACCTCGTGATCCACCCGCCTCGGCCTCCCAAAGTGCTGGGATTACAGGCTTGAGCCACCGCACCCGGCTGAATTAGGTATTCTTAAATTTTTCTTATCAGTGGGTCCAACCTTGCAGCCTAGGGCAAGCTGAGCTTGGGAAAAAGCCAGGAATGGCCCATGGAGGTGTTTTGAGATGGAGGATCATGGGAATGAAAGGTACTGAGGTCACATGCCGCGAACTTGGAGGCAGACTCACAAGTGACAAACAGGTAGATCATGAAATGTTCAGAGAGCCATCCCCCTTGTCTGTGGCTCTTTGACCATCTAGGGCTTCCCATGGTCCTGTACAGTTAGGACTTGGAGGCTGGAGAACAGGAGCATTCTGGAGACACCATGTCAGGATTCCTCTTAACCCAGAGGCCACCTTCCCCCTCTTGACCCCATGTTATGGGAGGAGCAGGGGTCTGCCCAGGAGGCTGATACCTTAGAAGCCTGTAGTTACTCTGGTAGGATATTGTGTGGGGTCCTGAGCTCTCACTCAACCCATACAATTCACCTATAGGTATGTCCAAGCTTAGAAAGAACTCGGCAGTCTCTTGGTTGAGGGGTGCAGCCCCGCTGATAAAAGAGTGACAGTGATCCAAGCCAAGGGACATCTTCACTTTGCTGAACACGATAGTCTTAGCCATGCGGTAGCTCATGGGAATATTATGTTTCCTGTGAATAAGAATGTATCAAGTGGAAAGGGGGCTGATGGGACCCACTGGAGAAGGCTGAGCCTCCTCCTTCACTAACTACCCTCCCAGCCCTCTGGATGCTCTACCTACCCCAACATCTTTTTTGAGTTGACCTTGAAGCCAATGTTTCTTGCCCACACAAATACCTTCTTACTCAAGCCTGTGAACCTGGCACTATTTTTCTTCACTTCCACTTGCATCTTCTCCCAAATTCGGGGCACTCCCAAGAAGACAGTAGGCTTTACCTCCTTTAGAGTATTTATCAAGGTGCCCTGTATGGAACAAAGCTAGGTTAGCCATAGCAGTGCCTTTCGTGCATCAGGGAGGTCCATCTCTCCTGATCAACCCAACTCTGTCCAAGAGAACATTCCTTCACTGATCAGATCAGGCAGGGCTTCCAACTCAAAGGAGACAACCCATTGGCTGGGTTGGCCAATCAGATTTTTGCACCCTCTGTAGGGATTTGATGAGGACCATAAAACCTGGTAAGATATTTTTGGAAGGTAACACGACAGTCCTATTAACATTTTAAATGTAACCTGTCAACTTCACTTCTATGGGTGAAGTAATTCAGCTGAAGGAAACACAGCTGACACATTCAGGCACACAAACACATTCAAGATATTCCTTGCAGCACTGTTTTGTAACAGAATGGAAACACCTTGCAGGTTCAATGACAAGGGGTTGGCTAACTGTGGTCCAAACATGCAGTGGACTATTATACAACTGTTAAAAAGATGCAAGATTCTGCCGGGCGTGGTGGCTCAAGCCTGTAATCCCAGCACTTTGGGAGGCCGAGGCGGGTGGATCACGAGGTCAAGAGATCGAGACCATCCTGGTCAACATGGTGAAACCCCGTCTCTACTAAAAATACAAAACATTAGCTGGGCATGGTGGTGCGTGCCTATAATCCCAGCTACTCAGGAGGCTGAGGCAGGAGAATTGCCTGAACCCAGGAGGCGGAGGTTGCGGTGAACCGAGATCACGCCATTGCACTCCAGCCTGGGTAACATGAGTGAAACTCCGTCTCAAAAAAAAAAAAAAGATGCAAGATTCTCCCCTAAAGTGACTTGTAGGCTCAATGCAATCCCTATGAAAATCTAGGAAGTTTTAAAAAAAAATACAAATTGACAAGCCATTTAAAAAATTTATATAGAAATGCAGAGGACCTAGAATAGCCAAAGCAATTTTGGAAAAGAAAGACAAGATTGGTGGACTTACTACTGGATTTTAAAATTTATTCTGAAGTAGGGTGAACAACTATCCTAGTTTACCCGGAACTACAGGAGTATCTGAAATGTGAAACTTTCTGTTTTAAAACTGGGAAAGTCCCATGCAAACCAGGAAAAATTAGTCATCCTGCTATAAAGCTAGTGTAATCAAGTCAGTGTGGCATTGGTGTAAAGACGGATATGCAGATCAGTGGAACAAAACAGAAGATCCAGAAACAAAACCTTACATTTATCATCAATTGATTTTCAACAAAATGCCAAGACAATTTAGTGGAGGTTGGGTGAGGGGACTATTGAAATGCAGAACAAAATAAAACAAACAAAAAAACACCTCCACAGAACTTGGGCTTAGAGCCTTATTTCTCACCAAACATGAAAATCACCTGAAAATGCATTATAGCCCTAAATATAAGAGATCAAACTAAAAGCCTTCTGGAAGAAAACGTAGACAAAAATCTCTGTGACTTTAGGTTAGGCAAAGATTTCCTAGATATGATACTAAAAGCATAAAAGAACCTAGATAAATCAAACTTCAAAAAAAATAAAAAATAAACTTCATCAAAATTAAATGCTTTTTCCTCTTCAAAAGATTATTGAGAAAACAACAAGCCATAGAATTGGGAGAAAGTATTAGCAAACCACAAATTTGGTAAAGGATTTGTAACCAGAATATATAAAGAACCCTAAACACTCCACAATAAGATTAGATATGCAACCAAATTTTTTTTTCGTTTTTAATTTTCTTTCCCTTCTTTCCTTCCTTTCTTCCTCCCTCCCCCTTTCTCTCTTTCTTTCTTTCTGATAGAGTCTCCCTCTGTTGCCCAGGCTGGAGTCCAGTGGCACCATCTCAGCTCACTGCAGCCTCTGCCTCCTGGGTTCAAGCTGTTCTCCTGTCTCAGCCTCCTGAGTAGCTGGCACGCCACCATGCCCAGCTAATGGTTGTTTTTTTTTTTTTCAGTAGAGATGGAGTTTCACCATGTTGTCCAGGCTGGTCTTGAACTCTTTTTTTTTTTTTTTTTTGAGACGGAGTTTCGCTCTTGTTACCCAGGCTGGAGTGCAATGGCGCGATCTCGGCTCACTGCAACCTCCGCCTCCCGGATTCAGGCAATTCTCCTGCCTCAGCCTCCTGAGTTGCTGGGATTACAGGCACGCGCCACCATGCCCAGCTAATTTTTTGTATTTTTAGTAGAGACGCGGTCACCATGTTGACCGGGATGGTCTCGATCTCTTGACCTTGTGATCCACCCGCCTCCGCCTCCCACAGTGCTGGGATTACAGGCTTGAGCCACCGCGCCCGGCCGGTCTTGAACTCTTGACCTTAAGTGATTTGCCTGGCTTGGCCTCCCAAAGTGCTGGGATTACAGGTGTGAGCCACCATACCCAGCTTTTACTTTCCTTTTTACTAGTGATGCTAGCACAGAAACAGCAACCAAATTTTTAAATGGCCAAACTATTTGAACAGATTTATTTTTCCAAAGAAGATATACAAATGGTCAATAAACACATGAAGAGATGCTCACTATCATTAATCATCAAGGAAATGCAAATTCGAATGGCAATAATAATAATAATAAAACAGATAATGTGTTAGTAAAGATGTAGAAAAACTGTAACCTTCACATGTTTCTGGTGGAAATGTAAAATGGTGCACTTACTTTGGAAAACAGTCTGGAAATTTCTGAAAATATTAAGCCACTTTTGTCACTAGACAATTTGTAAACATTTTGACTACATTAGGAGTTGGTAAGGATGTGGGAAAATGGAAGCTTCTCAGGCCTTGTAGGTAAATGTGTATGTGTTATGTGTCAGCCAAGAAAGGAAATATTTATTGATTACCTAACACATCTACAGGCACTGAGCATGGGACATAAGAGAGGAACTGAAAGGGGCCAAGGAAATATTTAGCAGAGAGCTAAATGACAAAGAAGAGTCAGCCCTGAAAAGGACAGGAGAAAGCATCTTCTAGGAGGAAATATAAAGCCCCTAAGATTTAGCCTGCTTGATGCAGAGTGTGGGAGGCAAAATAATGGCCTCCTAAAGATGTCCACGTTCTAACCCCTGGAACCTGTGAATATATACTCTTTCATGGCAAAAGGGACTTTGTAGATGGGATTAAATTAAGCATCTTGAGATGGTAGATCATCCTGGATGATCTGGGTGGCCCACTGTCTTCACAGGGTCCTTATAAGAGGGAGGCAGGAGGGTCAGAGTAGAGAGAGGTGGGAAGAGGCTGCACTGCTGGCTGTGAAGATGGAGGAAGGGGCCATGAGATGAGGAACATAGGTAGCCTCTAGAAGCTGGAAAAGGCAAAAGGAAATAGATTCTCCTCAAGAGCCTCTAGAAGGAATGCAGCCCTGATGACATCTTGATTTTAGCCCAGTGAGACCCATTTTCAGACCTGTGACCACCAGAACTATAAGATAATAAGTGGGCCAGGCGTGCTCATTCTTATCTGTAATCCCAGCACTTTGGGAGGCTGAGGCAGGTGGATCACTTGAGGTCAGGAGTTTGAGACCAGCCTTGCCTACATGGTGAAATCTCGTCTCTACTAAAAATACAAAAATTAGCTGGTCATGGTGGTGCACACCTGTAATTCCAGCTTGGGAGGCTGAGGCATGAGAATCATTAGAACCCAGGAGGTGGTGGAAGTTGCAGTGAGCTGAGATCATGCCACTGCACTCCTGCCTGGGCGACAGAATGAGGCTCTATCTCTAAATAAATAAATAAATGTTGTTTTAAGTCACTAAGTTTATGTTCATTTGTTGTAGCATTAGTAGGAAACTAATTCAGAGAATGTAGCTTGGAAGAAATGTCAGGGTTCTTTCCTGGCTCTATTAAGTTTGCAAAGTCCAGACATGTAGGAAATCACTGTTAAACAAATTAGTCAGGCCTGGTGGTACATGCCTGTAGTCCTGGCTACAGGGGAGACTGAGGTGGGAGGATCCCTTGAGCCCTGGAATTTAAGGCTGCAGTAAGCTATGATCATGCCACCGCATTCCAGGCTGAGTGACATAGCAAGACCTTGTCTCTAAAAAAAAAAAAAAACAAGCAGTATTTTAAAAAGCAAATCAATGTGTTCTCTCACCTAACTGCTTTGAAAAATGTACCAATGAATGATCTCCAGCTAACTCAAGGAATAATCCAAATAAAGAAGGCAAAAACCCCAGAAAATAGGGGATCCAACCCAGGAGTGGAGAGAAGGGGTATCCCTCTATGGCAGTTTGTAGAAGATGCTGTTGATGTCCTATCCAGATCTCTAATGGCCCACAGTTCCTTATTTTCCAGAAAACTGCCCTTACTTAGAAATAACTGGAAAGTTGTGCTCCCCACCCCCCATGGGTGCCTGAGCCCACAGCGAATGACTGAGTTGGAGTTACAAAAGCACAGCCTCCTTGCCTCAAAGTGGAACAACTCTGTGGTGTCATTCATGCCTCAGAGCTTCCTGTGGATCAGTCTGAGGTTACAATCCAGCTGAATATGCGACCTTTCTTGTTTTTCCCCCCAGCCTATCCTCTCCTCTCTTCCTTTTTGTTTTTAGCTGAGAGCTCCCCATTGATAAATCACAAAGATCTCCAACTCAGATTTTGCTTCTTGGGGACCCAACCTAAGATAGTCTAAAACAACAGTCCAGCTAAGAGCAGAAGGATGCAGGAAAAAATAATGCAATGAAGCAGGGCGTAGTAGCTCATGCCTGTAATACCAGCACTTTGGGAGGCCAAGGCTCACCTGAGGTCAGGAGTTTAAGACCAGCCTAGCCAAAATGGCAAAACTCTCTCTACGAAAAATACAAAAATTAGCAGGTGTGGTGGCACAGGCCTGCAGTCCCAGCTACTTGGGAGACTGAGGCATGAGAACTACTTGAACCCAGGAGACAGAGGTTGTAGTGAGCTGAGATGGCACCACTGCACTCTAGCCCGGGCAGCAGAGCAAGACTCCATCTTAAAAAAGTGCAATGAATATTTGAACATGTGGAGAATATTGATAAGCATGTGACAGATCAGATGGAGCAACTGGACATGAATGCAAAAACTTCACCAAATTGGAAAAGAAAGGCAACTATTAATTCTGGGAAAAACAAAAAGTTGTACTAAACAAGAAATGTAATCATATAGTAAACTACTTGGCTCAGCTAACTAAGAATAATTTATATTGAGAGAATGGAGAAGGAGAAATGAGGAGACGGAAGAGGATGGGAGCTAAGTCCTCACTTACCACAATAGAAAAGCAGTAGGTAATATCTAAAGGGTACAGTCAAATATATGCATAATCCCAGTAAGTAGAATAAAATGAAGACCACAAACAGCATTGTATCAATTCAGATCAGATTTTGCTGCCAAAAACTCCTGGTTTTTTGAGCTTTTTAGATTTGAGAATAATACTGACTTAAAAAACACACACACACACGTGTGCATGTACTTTACTTTCAATATCAAGTACATCTTTGTCTTGGGTTGATCAGTTCAATCCACATAACCATACACATGGATGCCTTGAGTTGGATAGAGATGAAAACTAAGAGAATGTAGCCAGCTGGCAAAAAAAAAAAAAAAAAGTTTTTCTTTTTTATTTGGTCAGATTTTTTTTTTGGAAAAATTTACTATTATTAGTATTGTTTTTGTAGAGAGGGAGTTTCGCTATGTTGCTCAAGCTGGTCTCAACTCCTAGGCTCAAGCAATCAGCGTGCCTTGGTCTCCCAAAGTGCTGGGATTACAGGCATGAGCCGCTGTACCTGGTCTTGTTTTCAATGCTTCTAAATAGAGCATTAAGATGAGGACAGAGAAAAAAAGTGTTAGACCTGGAGCTTCATCCAAAGAATCTGTCCAATGATTAACAACCATCTACTCACCTGGGCTGCCCAAGGGGATGAAGTAAGGGCCCCAGGTCCTTACTCAATCTTACCTTGAGAGCATCTGGTTGAGCAAAGTATGTGAGTGCTCCGATCTTTATGGGTACCCAGATGTCCATCATCTGTGCTGCAATGTGGCTGAGTGGGAGGTAGCTGACCACCATCTCATGCTTTTCTGTCAGTTTCAAGTCCTTTGCCACTGCTCCTGCTGTCCACGTGATCTGTAACATAAGGAATAATCCAGGGTGCCTCACCCTCACATTAGGGCCATTTCATTTTTAAATTTTTTATTTATTTAATTTTCAGACAGGGTCTCACTCTTGTTACCCAGACTGGAGTGCAGTGGTGTGATCACAGCTCACTGCAGCCTCAAACTCCTGAGTTCAGGGGATCCTCCCATCTGGGCCTCCTGAGTAGCTGGGACTACAGGCACACACCACCACACCGAGTTAATTTTTTTAAAACTATTTTGTAGGAGGGGGTCTCACTATATTTTCCAGTGTGGCCTCAAAAGTGCTAGGATTATAGGTCTGAGGGACCATGCCTAGCCTGGAGGCCCATTTTAAATGTATTTAGTGAAATAAATAAATAAATAAATTTAGTGAACACTTATAAAGCACCTTCTATGAGCCAGACACTGTTTTCATACTTTACAAACACCAAGTCATTTAATCATTGTTAACACTTGGGGGTCAGTAACTATAATTCTTCCTGTTTTACAGATGTGGAAACAGAAACACAACATTCCTGCTGGCTCAGAACAAGGAGCTAGTGCATCCCCTGCCCCTACCCCTGAGACCTCAGTGCACCCCATCGTGATCTCTTTTCTGCTACCTCCATCAGGGTATGCATGCCTACCTGGCACCAGCCTATCTGCTGGCTCTGACTTTTAAGTGCCACCTACTGGACTGCAGCCTGCATGGCACCACCAAACAAAACTTGCTACTGGAAGGGTTTATTGACAGTGCATGAGATAAGCCTCCTGAGACCTCAGCACCCTCAGTCCTGAGGGGAGACAGTGTTGGCTCTTATGTCCAATACATCTTTACAACAAGCAGCATTTGAGAAAGCCACTACATAGAAGCTATCCACAACCATGGAACCCATACAGACCTTTGGCCCCCAAAAGCACTCAGAAGCAAGAGGCCATACAATCATACACAACATACACCACAGCCATACCCTCAAGGGAAAATAGAATTTAAAAATACAAAAGTCTCATCCAAACAATAGAAAATCCAAAAACAAGAAGTGACAGCTCCCTCGGATAAGAAGGAATCAGAGCAAGAATTCTGGCAGTAGAAAAACCCAGAGTGTCTGAACACCTCCAAAGAATCTCACCAGTTCTCTAGCAGTGGGTCCTCACTGGATTGAAATGTCTGAAATAACAGATAAAGAATTCAAAATATGGATTGCAAGGAAACTTAGGTCCAAGAGAAAGTTGGAATCCAATATAAGGAAACTAGAAAAACACTTCAAGATATGAAAGACAATATAGATGTATTAAGGAAAAACCAGTTGAACTTCTGGAATTGAAAAATTCACTATAGAAATTTAAATATATAGTTGGAAGTTTTAACAATAGATTAGACTGAGCAGAAGAAAGAATTTCAGAGCTTGAAGACTGATCTTTCAAACAGATTGTAACTAATGACAGTTTAAAAAAAGACAAAAGTCAGACAAAAGTAAAGAAAAAAATTTTAAAAAACAAAGTCTTTGAGAAATATGGGATTATGCAACCAAACCTATAACTTATTGGCATTACTGAGACAAAAGAAGAAAAAGTAAGCAACTTGGAAAACCTATTTGAGGGAGTAATACAGGTAAATTTCCTTAATCTTGCTAGAGAGGTTGACATCTACATACAAGATATCCAGAGAACTCCTGTGAGATGCTATACAGTATAGCCACCCCCAAGGCAAATAGTCCTCAGACTAAGGTCAGTGTGAAAAACAACAACAAAAAACCCTTAAAGGCAGCTAGAGAAAAGGGCCAAATTACATATAAAGGAAATTCCATCAAACTTACAGTGAATTTCTTAGCAGAAACCTTACAAGCCACAAGAGATTGGGGGCCCATTTTTAGCCTTCTTAAAGAAAAATAAATGCCAGCCAATAATTTTATATCCCACCAAGCTAAGTTTCATAAATGAAGGGAAATAAAATATTTCCCAGACAAGGAAATGTAGGGGAATTTGTTACCACTAGATCAGCCTGAAAAGAAATGGTCAAAGGAGTTCTAAACATGAAAACAAAACAACAATTACTTGCTACCATAAAAGTATATGTAAGTACAAAGACCACAGACCCTATAAAGCAACTACACAATCAAGACTACAAAGCTACTAGCTAAAAACACTATGACAGGAACAAAGCCTCACATATCAACATTAAACTTGAACATAAACATCCTAAATACAGCACTTAAAAGACACAGAGTGACAAATTTGATTAAAAAAAAAAAATGAGACTCAACCTTCTGTTGCCTTCAAGAGACCCATCTGACATGTAATGACACCTACAGGCTCAAAGTAAAGGGATGGAGAAAGATCTGTCATGCAAACAGAGAACAAGATGAGAGGGTGCTATTTTTTTAATCCAATAAAACAGATCGTAAACTAATGACAGTTAAAAAAGAGAGAATGTTCAGTTCATCCAGACGATCTAACCATCCTCCCAACATCGGAGCACCCAGATTTATAAGACAAATAGTACTAGACTTAAGAAAAAAGATAGCCATACAATAATTGTGAGGGACTTCAACACCCCATTGACAGAAGTAGGCAGATCGTTGAGGCAGAAAATAAATTCTGGACTAAATTGGACAGTTGACCAAATGGACTTAATAGACATCTTCAGACTACTCCACCCAGTGACCACTGAATATACATTTTTCTCATTTTCACGTGGAACATTCTCTAAGATTAGCCACATGCTTGGCCACAATGAAAGTGTTAATAAATTTTTTAAAAATCATATCAAGCATCTTCTCAGACCACAGTGGAATAAAATTAGAAATCAATACCAAGAGGAATCCTTAAAACCACACAAGTACATGGAAACTAAACAGCTTGCTCCTTAATGACTTTTGGGTAAACAAGGAAGCAATAAAAAAATTATTTGAAACAAATGAATATAGACACTTTTTAAGTGGGCTTTATTCCTGGGATGCAAGGATGGTTCAACATACACAAATCAATAAATGTGATTTATCACACAAACAGAATTAAAACCAAAAGCCAGATGATCATCTCAATGGCTGCAGAAAAAGCACTTGACAAAATCCAACATCCTTTATGATAAAAGCCCTCAACAAACTAGGCATCAAAGGAATATACCTTAAAATAATAAGACCTGTCTATGACGAACCTGCAGCAAACTTCATAACGAATGGGCAAAAGCCAGAAGCATTCTCTCTAAAAACTGAAACAGGACAAGGATGTCCACTCTCACCACTCCTGTTGAACATGATATTAGAATTCTTAGAGCATTCAGGCACAAGCAAGAGATAAAAGATGTACGAATAGGAAGAGAGGAAGTCAAACCATCTCTGTTCACCAATGATATGATTCTACATCTAGAAAACCCTAAAGATTCCTCCAAAATACTCCTAGCTAAATGACTTCAATAAAGTTTCAGGATACAAAATCAATATACAAAAATCAGTAGCAGTTTTCTACACCAATAATGTTCAAGTTGAGAACCAAATCAAGAATTCTATCCCATTTACAATAGCCACACACAAAATAAAATACCTATAGACACATTTAACCAAGGAGATGAAAGACTTCTACAAGAATAGCTTTTCAAAACACTGATGAAAGAGATCACAGATGACAGAAATGTAAAAACATTCCACGCTCATGGATAAGAATAATCAACATTGTTAACATGACCATGCTACACAAAGCAATCTACAGATTCAACACAATTCCTATCAAATTACCAATATGATTTTCCACATAATTATATAAACAATTCTAAAATTCATATGGAACCAAAAAAAGAGCCCAAATAGCCAGAGCAATCCTAAGCAAAAAGAACACAGCTAGAGGCATCACATTACCTGACTTCAAATTATACTACAAGGCTATAGTAACTAAAACAGCATGGTACTAATACAAAAGTAGGCACAGAGATAAATGGAACAGAATAGAGAACTCAAGAATTAAACCACACCTAGCCAACTGATCTTTGACAAAGTCAACAAAAATAAACAATGGGGAAGGACGTCGTATTCAATAAATGGTGCTGGAAAAACTGGCTAGCCATGTGCAGAAGAATGAAGAAACTAGAAAAAAATCTAGGAAAAATTCTTCCGGACATTGGCCTAGGCAAAGGATTTATGACTAAGACCACAAAAGCAAATGCAACAAAAACAAACACGGGCAATTGGGACTTAAGAGCTTCTGCACAGCAAAAGAAACAACAGAGTAAAGACAACCTACAGAACATGAGAAAATGTTTGCATCTATGCATCCAATAAAGGACTAATATCAGCTGGGCACTGGGGCTCACGCCTGTAATCCCAGCACTTTCGGAGGCTGAGGTGGGTGGATCACTTGAGGTCAGGATTTTGAGACCAGCCTGGCCGACATAGTGAAGCCCCATCTCTACTAAAAATACGAAAGTTAGCCAGGCATGGTAGTGGGTGCCTGTAATCCTAACTGCTTGGGAGAATCCCTTAAACCCAGGAGGTAGACATTGGAATGAGCTGAGACAGCGCCATTGCACTCCAGCCTGGATGACAGAGCAAGACTCTGTCTTAAAAAAAAAAAAAAAGGTCTAGCATCCAAAATCTATAAAGAACTTAACAAGAAAAAAAAATCCTAAAAAGCAGGCAGTCTTGCTCCAGGGCTTATGCTTATAACCTTTGTGGTAGGAGAATGTCTTACCATAACCATACATGCAGCCACCAGGAGCATAAATACCAACCAGCATAGAGGGGAATATCCTGTTTAATCAGATTTCTTTCATTCATTCATTTCCCAAAAGTGGATTGAGTCCTCCTGCCCACCAGGCACTGCACTTACAGTAGTAAATAAGACAGACAACCCCTGACCTCAAGGAGCTGATGTTTCTGATAAACAAATGAGCACATAATATGTCAGTGTCAAAAAAATCCTAAGGAAGAAAAAAAGTAGCCAAATGGAAATTAGGTAGTAATGGGATGGTTTATGGTTTGCTATTTCAAACATGGAAGTTAGGGAGGCCTTCACTGAGGAAGTGACACTGAGAAGAGATCCACCAGAAGGAGGTGAGGGAGCAAGCTGTGTGGCTAACTAGGGGAAAATACCTTCCCACAGAGCTCATGCAAAGACCTCGAGGCAGGACTGTGTATGGCGTGTTGGAGGAACAGCGAGGAGGACCATGTGGCTAGAAAAGAGTGATCAAAGGGGAGAGAGGGAGAAGAGGAGAGGAGGAAGGAGATGAGGCTAGGTTTGCAGGGCCTTGTGGGCCTCAGGAGGACTTGGGCTTTTATCTGGAGGGAGGTGGGAGCCAAGGAGGGCTGCGGACAGAGGAGGAATGGGACCTGACTCAGGTGCTCACAGGTGCCCTCTGGTAGCTGTAGAAAGGACAGACTAGGGGGTGAGGGTGGGAGTTGAATGGGAGGTAGGTAACAGGATGGGGTGGAAGCAACGGCACAGGTGCAGGGAGTGATGATGGGGACTGGACCAGAAATATTTTTCTATATCAGGTATCGTACAGTTGAGTCCCAGATCATCTCGTTATAAGGGCTTCTGTAATGTCTGAACTTTTAATTTTTACTCCAATGATTTATTGCCAGACTTGAAGCCTGCTTTCCTTGTTGTTATAGTAAAATGTATGCATCAAATATTACAGGAAGCCAAAATCCCATCTCTAAAAACAATTTAAAAAACAGGCCAGGTGCAGTGGCTCATGCCTGTAATTCCAGCACTTTGGGAGGTCAACATGGTGAAACCCCATCTGTACCCAAAATACAAAAAGTTAGTCAGGTGTGGTGGCACTGGCTTGTAGTCCCAGTTACTCAGGAGGCTGAGGCACAAGAATTGCTTGAACTCAGGAGGCAGGGGTGAGTGGACAGAGTGAGACTCCATCACACACACACACACACCCTTGGGTGCATACCGTGCCCCCACACACACACCCTTCCTCCGGTGCATACCGTGCCACACACACACACACACACCCTTCCTCGGGTGCATACTGTGCCCCCACACACACACACACCCTTCGTCGGGTGCATACCGTGCCACACACACACACACACACACACACTGACTCCAGCACACACACACACCCTTGGGTGCATACCGTGCCCCCCGCCACACACACACACTCCAGCACACACACACACACCCTTCCTGGGGTGCATACTGTGCCACACACACACACAGTCCAGCACACACACACACCCTTCCTCGGGTGCATACCGTGCCAGATATTTTTCTGCTTTTGACCTGACCAGCATTCCTTGCTCTCAATGGTTGCACTCTGCTGCCCCCTAGTGAAGCAACTACACTACTCTCTATCCCCCAGTGGTGAAGGAGCGACTGCCTGCTAGACCCTGGAATGCCATCCATGCTGCCCCTGGAAGCCAAGAAGAGAAACAGCCCAGAGGCCACCACTTCAGAGCAAAGGGACTTTGGCATACATTGTCATGACTGAGCATCACTCCCTTGGGTATGCCTGTGGTCCCCGAAGTGTAGATGAGCACGGCGCACTGATTCGCCTTCTGGCTCTGGATGACCTGTTCCAGTTGGGTGTCAGGGATGCTTCCGCCAAGTTCCATGAAATCATCCCACTGTGGACAGGAAAGACAAGTGGAAGATGAGAAGGCAGCCAGGAGTCCTCTTCCCCAGCCAGACCTCATCCTATCAGCTTTTCCTAAAGAATGATTCTCAGGCCGGGCGCGGTGGCTCAAGCCTGTAATCCCAGCACTTTGGGAGGCCGAGGCGGGTGGATCACGAGGTCAAGAGATCGAGACCATCCTGGTCAACATGGTGAAACCCCATCTCTACTAAAAATACAAAAAATTAGCTGGGCATGGTGGTGCGTGCCTGTAATCCCAGCTACTCAGGAGGCTGAGGCAGGAGAATTGCCTGAACCCAGGAGGCGGAGGTTGCGGTGAGCCGAGATCGCGCCATTGCACTCCAGCCTGGGTAACATGAGTAAAACTCCGTCTCAAAAAAAAAAAAAAAAAAAGAATGATTCTCAGCAGGTGGAAGAGCTTAGGATGTACCAGTCCTGGCACCTCTTACGAAAGTCCCAAGATATTTGCTTCCAGTTCTGCCACTTCCTCGAAGTGTCACCAAGTCACTTAAGCTCCCTGTGCCTCAGTTTCCTCATTTGTAAAATGGGAATGATGTCAGGATGCAACTCCTTGGGCTGTTGTAAGCAAAGTCCTGAGAACAGTAGTTGACAGGTGGTAAGTGCTCTACAGAGTTAAGTATTATTTGCTTGCTGCCTTCCCAAATTCCATTCCCCACCCCAGCTTCTTAGTCACCAATTGGATGGGGCTAACCCCACCCACAGATCCAGAAGTCAACCCTAATTGGTTTAAACTAGAGTATTCCTTTTTTTTATTAATTAATTTTATTTATTTATTCTTTTAAAAAATATGTATATTTTATTGTGTTTTAGGTTTGGGGCACATGTGAAGAACATGCAAGATTGTTGCATAGGTACATACATGGCAATATGGTTTGCTGCCTTCCTCCCCATCACCTATATTTGACATTTCTCCCCATGTTATCCCTCCCCAACTCCCCACCCCCTGCTGTCCCTCCCTAGTTCCCCCTCCAGACCCCAGTGTGTGATGCTCCCCTCACTGTGTCCATGTGTTCTCATTGTTCAACACCCGCCTATGAGTGAGAACATGCGGTGTTTGATTTTCTGTTCTTGTATCAGTTTGCTGAAAATGATGGTTTCCAGGTTCATCCGTGTCCCTAGAAAGGACACGAACTCATCGTTTTTTATGGCTGCATAGTATTGCATGATGTATATGTGCCACATTTTCCCTGTCCAGTCTGTCATCAATGGGCATTTGGGTTGGTTCCAACTCTTTGCTATTGTAAACAGTGCCACAATGAACATTCGTGTACATGTGTCCCTATAATAGAACGATTTATAATCCTTTGGCTATATACCCAGTAATGGGATCGCTGGGTGAAATGGAATTTCTATTTCTAGGTCCTTGAGGAATCGCCACACTGTCTTCCACATGGTTGAACTAATTTACACTCCCACCAACAGTGTAAAAGTGTTCCTATTTCTCCACATCCTCTCCAGCATCGGTTGTCTCCAGGTTTTTTAATGATCACCATTCTAACTGGTGTGAGATGGTATCTCAATGTAGTTTTGATTTGCATTTCTCTAATGACTAGTGGCAATGAGCATTTTTTCATATGTTTGTTGGCTTCATATATATCTTCTTTTGTAAAATGTCTGTTCATATCCCTTGCCCACTTTTGAACGGGCTTGTTTGTTTTTTTCTTGTAAATCTGTTTTAGTTCTTTGTAGATTCTGGATATTAGCCCTTTGTCAGATGGGTAGATTGCAAAATTTTTTTCCCATTCTGTTCATTACCGATTCACTCTAATGACTTTTTCTTTTGCTGTGCAGAAGCTCTGGAGTTTAGTTAGGTCCCGTTTGTCTATTTTGGCTTTTGTTGCCAATGCTTTTGGTATTTTAGTCATGAAGTCCTTGCCTATGCCTATGTCCTGAATGGTTTTGCGTAGATTTTCTTCTAGGGTTTTTATGGTGTTAGGTCTTATGTTTAAGTCTTTAATCCATCTGGAGTTAATTTTAGTGTAAGGTGTCAGGAAGGGGTCCAGTTTCTGCTTTCTGCACATGGCTAGCCAGCTTTCCCAACACCATTTATTAAACAGGGAATCCTTTCCCCATTGCTTGTTTTTGTGAGGTTTGTCAAAGATCAGATGGTTGTAGATGTGTGTTGTTGCCTCCGAGGCCTCTGTTCAGTTCCATTGGTCTGTATCTCTGTTTTGGAACCAGTATCATGCTTAAACTAGAGTATTCTATCCGCCTGGATTGTGGTGATTGGATCAAGTCTGGACATGTGACCTCCAGTGGTCCAATCACAATGAAGATGAAGACTTTACCTGGGAATTCTGAGACACAGACTATGGATGTGAATGAGTCAAGATGTAGCTCTAGGAGCTGCTGAACCATCTCAGGACTATGCAAGAAAGCAAGGCTGGAAAGCCAAGAAATTGAGAAAGTAAAATAGACCCTGGGCACATTCTTTGAGCCCCAGGTTCCAGCCATGCCTGAAATCCACACCCTGAACTGTAGTTGCATGGTCTAACAAATTATCCTTTTTTTTTGCTTAAGCCATTTGAGGTCAGACTTTTGTCAGTTGCGACCAAAGGCACCCTTATTGATAATCAATACATTGCCTTACTCTGGCAGATGAGGAAGTTGAGGCTCAGGGGTGGGAGATTACTTGCCCAAGGTAGATTACTTAAGGCAAGTGAAGAGAGGAACTAGCATTCAAACCCAAGGTCTGACTCCAGAGCCTGTGCTCTTGACTATGACAGAATTCGGTGCCTCAAAGTGAACTCTTGGGCTGTATCGACTGAGTATCACATGGGATCTGAAGAAATTCTACCACTGAACCCCCAACAAGGCTCTGGATGAGGGCACTGCACTGACTTAAAGATGGAGGCACCTCGGCTGGGCGCAGTGGCTCATGCCTGTAATCCCAGCACTTTGGAAGGCCGAGGTGGGCAGATCACAAGGTCAGGAGTTCGAGATCAACCTGGCCAGCATGGTGAAACTCCGCCTCTACTAAAAATACAAAAATTAGCTGGGCATGGTGGTGGGTGCCTGTAGTTCCAGCTACTCAGGAGGCTGAGGCAGGAGTATCTCTTGAACCAGGGAGTCGGAGGTTGCAGTGAGTCCACATCACACCACTACTCCCTTTGCAAAGCCCAGCTTACTGCGTTTGGGAAGTCCCACCCACATCCCTTTCCAAAGCCCCACCCACTTCCCTTGACAGGCCCCGCCCCCTCTCTTTGCTCACTTCCCACTTTCTTTGAAAGGCCACACCCACTTCCCTTGTAGGGCCTTACCCCCTCCCTCAGCTCACCTTTCACATCCTTTGAAAGGTCACACTCGCTTCCCTCACAAGGCCCCACCCACTTCCTTTCCTCACCTTTTACTTCTCTTCAGAGTCCCCACCTACTTCCTTTGAGAATTCCCACCCTTGCCAGGTCCCACCCCCTCCCTCTGCTCACCTTCCACTACCTTAGGCCGTGCCCACTTTCTTGCAAGGCCCGGCTCTCCCCTTTCCCCAGTGCACACCTCCCACACTTACAGAGTACAAATTGTTGCAGTTCTTCACTGGCAGTCTGTACTGGACGATCGCTTTTAGGGGCTCCAGCCTGCTCTGTGGAATCTGAAAGAAAGTTCCCTGTGGGCCTCATCTTCCCCTTCCCCTGGGAAACACTAAAGCTGGGTTGGTTATCCTAAGCTCTCTCTAGCAACTCCAGCCCGCCCCCCTCTTTTTTTTTTTCTGAGACACCGTCTTGCTCTGTCACCCAGGCTGGAGTGCAGCGGCACAGTGTGGGCTCACTGCAACGTCCACCTCCCAGGTTCAAGCCATTCTCCCGCCTCAGCCTCCTGAGTAACTGGGATTACAGGCGTGGGCCACTATGCCAGCCAATTTTGTATTTTTAGTAGAGACGAGTTTTCACCATGTTAGCCAGGATGGTCTCGATCTCTTTGACCTCGTGATCCGCCCACCTCGGCCTCCCAAAGTGCTGGGATTACAGGTGTGAGTCACCACACCCAGCCATTTTGTGGTTTTGGTAGAGATGGAGTTTCACTTGGCCAGGCTAGTCTCAAACTCCTGACCTCAGGTGATCTGCCTGCCGTGGCCTCCCAAAAGTGTTGGGATTACAGGCATGAGCCACCACACCCAGCCCAAAACATGTTTTAAAAGTTAGCCCAATGTGGTGGTACATGCCTCCGTAGTCCCAGCTACTGAGAGGGCTGAGGTGGAAGGATTAGTTGAGACCAGGAGTTGAAGGCTACAGTGAGCTATGATCATGGCATTGCACTCCAGGCTGGGGAACAGAGGGAGACCCTGTCTCAAAATTTAAAAAAAAAAGGAGAATGAGTATTAAACTAAGTTAGTAAGAATTGGAAATCAAACTCCTCCACTTCACTCTGCTCCTCCAAAGATCAGCTTAACCTCATATACTAATGAAGTCATGGAGGACTCTTTCTGACCCGATGCATGGCCCTATTTTATCATTAGAATCTACCTGGGAAGCCGGGGGCAGTGGCTCACGCCTGTAATCCCAGCACTTTGGGAGGCTGAGGCGGGTGGATCACGAGGTCAAGAGATCGAGACCATCCCGGTCAACATGGTGAAACCCCATCTTTACTAAAACTACAAAACATTAGCTGGGCATGGTGACGCGTGCCTGTAATCCCAGCTACTCAGGAGGCTGAGGCAGGAGAATTGCCTGAACCCAGGAGGCGGAGGTTGCAGTGAGCCGAGATCGCGCCATTGCACTCCAGCCTGGGTAACAAAAGCGAAACTCCGTCTCAAAAAAAAAAAATAAAATAAAATAATCTACCTGGGAAAAAAAGACACCTGCCCAGAGCCCTGAGGTCCCCCTGGCTGGCTTTTGCAGGCAGTGCTGGGTAAGAGTTTACCGAAAGGATTTTCTGTAACTGTTGATCATTCTCAACCAGCAAGATGTTCACTTTGGCATCAGTGATGGCATGTCGACAAGCCTCGGCAGAGTTGGTGGCATAAATACCAACACAAAGGCCCCTGGGAAAAGAAAACACATTTGTGTGTGCATCCACACACACCTTAAAGGCAGAATGGTCTGGAAGGTCAAGAGAGAGGAAAGATTTGTAGGCAAGTTCTTAAGTTTGCAGCCACAGCGCCAGCTTCCCTTCCTCCGTAACTTAACCATGAAGACAACAAAAATGACAATGATGATAAGAGTTACAGCTACTACGATGTCATTTTAACAACACTTACAACACCCCATTTTACAGATGAGAAAAGCAAGGGTCCAGCAGTGAAGTCACTCATTCAAGATTACACAGTAAGAAGGTGTTAGACCTGGGATCTGAACTCCTCACTCAGCCCCAGTTCCCATCATTCACAGCAGGTGGCATTGTCTTGTGCTTTTAATTTGCATTTCCCAGCGGCTAATGACATTGAGCCTTTAGGCTACTTCCCTTTGTGGCATTTCTTTTGCCCCTTTCAATTCTTTTTTTTTTGGTCTCATATTACTGAGTTACGGAATTTATTTTTATTTTATTATTATTATTTTTTTTAAGATGGGGTTTCACCATATTGGTCAGGCTGGTCTTGAACTCCTGACCTCAGGTGATCTGCCCACCTCAGCCTCCCAAAGTGCTGGGATTACAGGCATGAGCCACCGCTCCCGGTTGGAATTTCTTTATATGTCTTAGATATCAGTCCTTGGTCAGATTCGAGTTTTACAAATATTTTCTCCAAGTATGCAGTTTGCCTTTCCTTTCTCTCTCCCTGTCTCTTTTCTCTTTCTTTCTTTCTTTTTTTTTTTTTTTTTTTTTTTTTTGAGACGGAGTTTCACTCTTGTTACCCAGGCTGGAGTGCAATGGCGCGATCTTGGCTCACCGCAACCTCCGCCTCCTGGGTTCGGGCTATTCTCCTGCCTCAGCCTCCTGAGTAGCTGGGATTACAGGCATGTGCCACCATGCCCAGCTAATTTTTTGTATTTTTAGTAGAGACGGGGTTTCACCATGTTGCCCAGGATGGTCTTGATCTCTTGACCTCGTGATCCACCCGCCTCGGCCTCCCAAAGTGCTGGGATTACAGGCTTGAGCCACCGCGCCTGGCTTCTCTTTCTTTCTTTTCTTTCTCTCTCCTTCCTTCCCTCCCTCTCTCCTCCCTCCTTCTCTCCCTCTCTCCCTCCCTGTCTCTCTCTCTCTCTCTCTCTTTGTTTCTCTCTCTCCCTTCCTTCCTTCCTTTTTTTTTTTTTTT